TATTTTGTATGGGATCCAAAATAGCTGATTGGATTGATGTGATAAAGGCAGCACTCAACACAAGGGCGACTTGTAAGGAGGAGGGAGAGGAAGGGAATATCACCCGGTAGACTTTCTATAGTAAAATGTCCTCTATTTAGGTGAAGAAAACCCCTGTAAACTACACGCGAATCCCGGATTAAATGATTTTAAATCCACTCGGTCACTGGTGGAGACGTTATAGACAAGTAACACAGGGAGATTGAAAAATACAAAAAAAAAAGGCCTTGTTTTAATGATCCTAAATGCTTTTTACAGTAATAAAATTAATAAACGATCATCCTCATCACTTATATATTTTTCTTTAATCAATTTTTATTCTTGATTTCTATAATTTATGTCAACAATCGTTCTAATATATTTTATTCCATATTTTTTTACGCCATTTTTTCGAATTAAAAAAAAACTAATTTAAATTATATTTTTAATATTAAGTTAATTATTTGGAAGGTAATTATTTTTGTAAATTGTAAGAGATGGAACTTTTTCGTGTTTGCTTTTTTTTTTATTATTATAATTTTTTTTCTCTTCCTCCTCTTCCTCTTCCTTTTTGCTTCTGGTAAATTAGCGAAGTAATCTTAATTAAGAATTTTTTCGAATAATTGCATCGAGAAGAAATTTTGTGTAAAAGGTAATTTTTAGATGTTGCGTGTTTAATCTTGCTGAGTTAATTGTGAAAATATGGAAGATGAGGATACGTTTCCTGATGTTGGTGCTTTTAGTGTACCTCTAAATACATCGTCTATTGTAAGAATTGATGCTTTAAGTTCGTGTATAAGTATATTATAAGTTAAATAACTTTGTTGTAATTTTATTTATACATCTTTTATAACAATTAACTAGAATTCTCGTTAAGTTTCTTCAAGGATGTACACATTTTAAATTAAAATTTCGCGTTGGATAGTGCAGAAAAAAAGCTGGATTTTGAAACATTTTAAACGTTATAAACAGAGAAATGTGTGTTTTTAAACTTCTTTATGTAGCATCATAAATGATGAAGATGTTATATAAAGAAGGTTGAAAACAGCATCATCTTTATCATTCGTAGAAGCTATAAAAATAGCTTCTATAGATGATGTGTAATGAATATTTATTGGTTAAAAACGAAGATATTGATTTACTGTATAAAACAATGCGTTATTAAACATTTCTATTGTATAATATAATTAATTGTAATCAGATTAATTTATATATTTAATAAAACTTTATGATTTTATCATCTTTTAAGAGTGGAGAATGAATCTTACTGACGAAAACTTCGAAGATTCTTCTTACAATTCTTACCATTATGAATAAAGAATGATCCATTCTTGTAATTATACAACAAGAACTATACCTAAACTTTATTATTATCAAAGTAATTCAACCATACTCTATTATCTATGCACAATATTCCACTTAGAAATGTTGTGTATAGCGAAAAGGCCAAAAGCTATATTATATAATCAGTACCAAATTCTCTATAGATACATTCAGCAAGTCTAAATAGGGGCCTTGTATAGTTTAATATCCCTGATATTTATATTGATTAATTACATAGATCACGACATTTGAATAGTCCAACGATGTATATATTACATTATAGCATTCATATTATAAATTCATTACAAATATCTTAGATAACACTTCACTTAGAAACTGCCAGAGTAATTAAAGTTAAAGTCTGATTGTAGAGGAGAATAAAAAAAAAATAAGAGAATTTTATCGACATTAATTGTAGAGAAAGAAGATTTTTAATGAAACTATATAACAACAGAGAGAGAATGCGTGTGAGAAACTTTTAAAAATATAATTATCAAAATCGATATGAAAATATTTAAATAACGAGCAACTTAAAGAATACTTCCTTTGCCTTGAAGGTAAGAAACTGTTGTAAGTCTTTCCTTTAGTTGTTTGGTTGGATAAGTTGACAGAAGTAGTTGGGATGGAGTTAGTTGCCTGTTGGTCTGGCAGGAAAATAACATGGCTATGTCAACAGACTCCTGTGCAGCAGTAAATGGATGAGGAGATTTAATCGATGATTGACATCCAAAAATCACAAAGGATTACTCGTTTTTATCGTTTGCATTTTCTTTATTGGATAGATTTGATTAAGTACTGCTTTTAAACGTAGTTAGATTGAAGGGGGGATCTGTCAGCTTCACTTATGCAAATGAATTTTACATATATAGCATCGAGGTTTTTATCTTTTTTAAGTAATAAAATGATCCAAAATCGTAACCGGAGGGTGTAATATAGCCCTGTACATGTATATATATATATATATACGGAGTATATATCTTAGTAGGGAGAGTTACTGAATAGTCAACTTTCCTCCTCACCCCTCGCGATTGCCTAGAGGCTAGCAAAGAGGGCAATTTGTTCCAGTAACACATAAAAGACAACCTGCATGGTCTGATTTCCATTACTGTAATAGAAAACTGTACAATTTTGTACGACAATTGCGCAGTTGTTTAATTACTTCTGAGGTTTAAGTTGTTGAAGGTGACACCAGAACGTTCCCCACCCCCTTTTCCACTTACACTTCTCGCTTTCATTTTCTACCTATTTCCTCATTCGTTACACATAGAGAAGGTTATAATTGAGTTAATTATTACTTCATCCCTGTCTTACACGTGTAGCAATTAATAAAATTCCAACATCTTTTCCTGGAAGAACGTGAGTAATAACGTTTTCCCATTCCAAACATAGAAGGCGCCACTAGTGTCGTCCCGAATTTCTGCCTCAGGGGGTCAAAGCATCTGCAACCTTTATATATATTGTCCTGGAATGTCGATATTTGATTCACATTTGTCCCTATCTGAGCTATACACATCTTTACTGCTACTTTTTATATCGTCTCTTCCTTCTGTGATATTTATATATCAGGTATATAAAGTATGTACTAACAACACTTAGGGAGGGAATTCAATAAAGAAATCTCCTTAAGTGGACCCAAAAAAAAGGGAGGAAATTAAGCTTTTAATGTCTCGCTTCATTACTTAGGAGGTCAGTAATTATTAGGTACAGTTCCAGTTCTTTTTTTTCCCCTTGTTGTTTCGTTCGATCTGTTCCTTGTTAAACTTCAGTTAATCTATAATAAAACATAGTTAAGTATTGTGAAGACGTTTAAACATCTTCACAATACTTAACTATGTTTTATTATTATTAAAATTTATATTTGTAGAGTGTTAAAAATGTTTATTTTTAAAAAAAAATTACAGAAAATTAGGCAAAACATGTATATAAAAAATTAATCTTGAACAGAATCCTTAAATAGAAAACCTTAAATTTAAAGAATTTTTGGCACAAATCCTTGGAATTGAGGTGTTAAAGTGTCAATTTAAGTGTAATTTTTAAAAAAATTAGGCAAAAAAAACCGAATCATAAAACAAATCCTTTGAAAAATTGAACAAAATCCTCGAATTGATAGAATTTCAGGAAAAATTCTTGAACTCGCGACGTTAAAAAAAAAAAAAGTATATTTAAGTTCAATTTATCTTTTATAAAAAAGAAAATAGACACACACATAAGGAACTAAATCATGAAACAAATTCCTTAAATTAAAAAAAGAATTTTGAACAACAAACATCCTTGAACTTAAGTTTATAAAGTTCAAGGCCCATTAGATGATGGATTAACGTCGAAGAGATATTTGAAAAGTCAGTTTTTGTTTGTGATTTTTGTTTTGTCGTTTGTCTTCTTTATAAAAAAATATATAAGGGGGAAAGGGGGAAGGGAGAGCCAGGCACACTAACACATGACATCTAATTTACGGAAGTGGCGGTTGACATGGAGACCCGCCTGTAAACGGAATTTGACAGGAGTTTTGGGCGGGGTCCTCTCTATCTCTTTGCCTTGCTACATGTTAGTTAAACCTGTACGAAAAGACGCCCCTTTCCTCTATATATTTCTGCCCCTTAATCTGAATACAATTTGTATTGTTAAATGGGTCGTTTGTTACTTAATTATCATCATTTAGAGTTTCCAATTAATATAAAGCTAGCTTTATGTATGTTTAGTTTGTTTGGTTAGAATCTGATTGAATCCTATGCAGAATGTTGCAAGAATATTATTATTATAATAGTTTCGTGCGGGTGATGCTGATAGAATATTGTTATAACAGCTACGAAACTGATGGTACTGTTGTAGGGAATATTAAATATAATAGTTTACGAATCGATAAACTTAAATGATGTAAGGATATTGTTATAAAGTTTTCAAATAATGATGCTACTATAATAATAATTCAACAGCTCTTAACTTGTAATGTCGTAATAATGATGATAAAATAATATATTTTAATTGTTTTTAACGAGATATTGTTGTAATAGATCATTATATTAATTCGTTAGATTATTTTATTTAATAATAATACACGCTATTATAGTAATAAAATCAATTTCTAGAATCTAGATTCTAGAATAGAAATTGAATAATTTTTTAATAAATTGTATTGTTGAAATTGACTGATAAATAAATTAATTTTTTTAATGTAAATTTCATTCTACTACATCAATGAAATCAATTTCTACAATCTGATGACGTAATAATAGAAATTGAACATTTTAAAACGATTGCATTGTTGAAACAGATCAATAAATAAACTTAATTTTATGCTACTTCAGCAATAAAATCAATTTCTAGAATATAAATTCTAGAATAGAAATTGAACAATTTTAAACAATAGAAACTAATAAATAAATAAATTTATTATTTTTTAAATGCTACTACAGCAATAAAATCAATTTCAAACGAGCTTTGACGTAACAATATAATTCATTCGTTTAACAATTAAACTGTGAATGGATTGTTGTATTAGATTAATAAAAATCTTATTTATTTATTTATTTTTTTATTGCTAAACATAAATATTGTGCTACTATAGCAACAAAATAAAATTAAGGAACGGATACTGATGCAATAATACATTTTACGTGTTTAATAATCAAATTGCAAATGCTTTATTGTAACAGATCAATAAAATTGTTTTATTCATTAATAAACTCGATGCTATTATGGTAACAAAAATCAATTTCGTGAATACGTAGAGGTGACGTAATAACGTAAAAATTTTATGACATAACAATTAATTTTTAAACGTATTATAACGGCAATTTCAATTATACATTTTTTTTTCGTCTTTTAAAGCACTTTTATGATACTCGAAGCGTTTAGTACTGTGGTAGCAAAATGGAGCGGTTATACAAAAATTTCTTAGGTCAGGACGCCCGCAGAGATGCATTCCGTTCGTTCAACAATAGAAAATATTTCAGATAGAAGCCAAGCTTCACGTTAGCAGACTGTCGACTATACTAAAATGCAGCACTACCTCCGATTCTTCCTCCCAATCGTCGCCACGTGACCACCCTCAATTGTCCAATAGGGTGGTGGATATCTTAGTTCGGCACTTCGCCACCGGAGGGAGCAGGATGTATGGTTATAAAGCGCCACCACCGAAGCTGGGAGAGACGAGTTGTACGCTGTGCGTGAGTAAAGTAAGTTGGTTGGACCAGTAGGAACCACTAAATATTCAAACTTATTGGACTGATCTACTGCTTAACGAACCGGAGAAGTGTTTTAATTTTCGGAGATAATTTTTGTGAGATTTTAAAGGTAAGATATTCAGATAATTTTAATGATATTAAAAACAACCCCCTATGAAATATTTAAGTATAATTGTCAAGATTAAAATGGGGTGTTTTTTTTTTGTTTTTTCGATGCTTCCTTTTACTTCGAGTGACGGATTTAGGAGAGTTGCACGAGTTTTAAAATGTGTTTTATGTAATTCTAAACCCCCTATTGCTTATAAATTCGCTTATATATTAAACTTTAATATCTTAGAATGATGATAACTCCAAGTGATAGCAGTTAAATCGGGAGTGAAGTGCATCCACTATAACTCAGCGGGTTGTCCTTTACTTGTGTCAGTGGCAGATGACAGGGATTTCAAAACATATGCCATGGATTATACGAAGGATAAGATAAGCACTGATTTCCTATCATTATCACCTTATCGGGGATGATATTCTTTAGATTTTTAGCCAATTTAAGAGAGGTGAAAGAAAGGCTCCGAATAGAATTCCCTTGTATATGACTTACGGTTCAAACACCTTTTATAAGAGGTCGTGTTGCGACAGTCGTTGGTTATAAACAAACATCACGGTGTTAAAGCTTAATTGTGAATCGAACGTTACTTCCAGGTTGATTTTCTTCGTTTAATCAGCAAATTTTGATATTGTAGTAGTAGTGTTTTTATTTATCGTCTTTACTTCTTCTACCTATACGCAATAACGATTTGTATATGTAATTATTTACTGCGATATGGTTGGGAAAGAGGTTCGTGTTTAACGTCACACGCTGCTGTTTTCTACAGGGGGTTTCCCCCGCTGATTTTTACTTAGAAATTCTTTCCTATGCGACCTTCCGTGCTACCTATCTATAAAGAGGGGGGGCTATTTTGTGTTCCGTGATGTTATTGTGAAGATCCCGTATTGTATTGGATGTGAGTTGAAGGAAACGATCTATTTTTTAGATTGCTTTCCATATACCTGGCTCATTTTCGTCTTTTCCTCCCATTTTCCTTATCCCCCCTTCGTATAAAACAGTAAATTAACCATTGTGGAAGAGATAGAAGCGTGGAGGAGAAGCAGAACCGCAGGGGTTTCTCTGCTTATTTATACCACACGATTTATTATAAAAATCAATCTCTCTAATGAGAAACGAACCTCGCCCCACGAGGGGTGAAGTAGGATACAGTCGAGCGATCTATGTAAAAAATGTATAAGGTAAAGCTCTTTATGAAAAATTAATGATATCCAGTATTATACATTATCTAATGACCGCTAATTATACTTAATAGAAAGGTAAATTTATAGATTTTCGCGTCGGGTTTATACATCTTACTTTACTAAATGTTCTGATTTGTTTAATGTACTTCCCAAAGGCATACTTTCCAGGCAATTTAACTGTTAAACTTTAGAGATAATTTGTCTACATAAACGGTTACGATTCTACAAAACTATTTCCAGTTATAATCATCGAATAAATCCGGATAATCGATCAATAAAATAAGGAGCCTCATAAAGGACGTTACATAATCCATTTTTATCAAAGTTTAATTAGGAAATTAACCAATTTTTCAGTAGAAATCTCCTCCGTTATTATGAAATCTTGTTCGGTACATTAATATACAGGGATGCGGAGTTTATCCTTTAGCTTGATGGCTATATAAAAGTCTCTTTTGAAGTCAACCGTAAATAAATATACAAAATCAAAATTAGTGCCGTAATTTATGTAAGAAGAAAAGATGGGTGTGTGCTTTCCATGTTAAAAATCTGAATTATCTTCTTGAATAGCAGCTTAATCCTTGAACATAATTAGTGGAGCGAAGTTTTGTATCCTCCCATTAAACTATCCTTAAACCAGTTTTTGAGGCTGAGTGTAACATCATTTTTTTTTTTTTAATTTTTCCTCGTTACTTCACACGATAAATAAGCATAATTTCTTTAAGAATTGATAAATAATTATTAGATTATCATTAAAATATAATTTTTTTTTTTGGTCCACTCTCTTATTGAATTTCTTCAATCTCTTCAATTGTGAAAACGTAAGAATTCTTTACTTTCTCAATTGAGTTTACTGGTTTCTTTATTCTTTTTTTATACTAGGATTTTCTAGTTTACTTTCCATCGTATTTCTGTACTTTATAATCTATTTTTCCTCCATCTGCACCGTTTGATTCTAACGTCTTCACTAGTTTTTCTCTATTGTACTCTATGAAAAACCACGGTAAAATTTAAAAAGGAAATTATTTAACACGACCAAAAAA